GTGTTGCTCCTTCCTAGTAATGCCCTCATGTGCACTGAAGCCAGCCCAAAAGACTGACTAGCCCTGCATTCTGAAAACATGGAAGGTACTTGAGTTTAAGTACTGGCTTGGGATCTTAAAAAAGTTTCAAAACATGAAATGTATTTAAGGTAGTCTCAGGCTGGTATCCAAAGGCAAGTGACACACTTATTTTCAAGATAAAGGGCTGTTGAAGCATGTAACAAAACTAATCTCTGCTATTTCTACTTCACTTAGAGGGATTCCACTGTGTTTCCCCAATGTCTGAACTCTGCTGTAAGACAGTGTCCTGGTTTCAGCTGGGATAGAGTTAATTTTCTTCCTAGTAGCAGGTATAATACTGTGTTTTGGATTTAGGATGAGAAGAATGTCAGTAACACGCTGATGTTTTAGTTGTTGCTGAGCAGTGCTTACAGTAAGTCAAGGACTTCTCAGCTTCTCACGCTGCCCTGACAGTGAGGAGGATAGGGATGAACAAAAAATTGGGACAGAGTGGTTTAGGGTGGTTTCAGTTTTTTCACCAGAGACACACAGGATGTATCGTATTGCAAAAATCCAACACTGCCCCTGGACCTGCCCATTTCAGTTTTTTAAAAGTGCACTCCTCAGTGGCAGTATCACAATTTATGACACAGTATATACAACACCCTAACAGGAGTGTAACCACATTTGACAGCGTTGAGGATTGATAGACATCGTAAGAGCTATCAAGACTTCTCTGGCTTTTTCAGCTTTGCCATCTCTTCCACACATCCCCATTTCCTCCCCTATTCCTACCTCCACAAGGTGAGGTGCCACCAGGCTCCAGCAGCGCATGAGATGGAGCAATGGGCGAGATTTACTCCTTACAATTCTGAGCATGGCATCACCAAGTCGGAACAAGTGAAGTGCACTTCTCCTGTCCTGGATAGATTTCACTTCACCTACAAGAAAGTATAAAAAAAATAAATGGAAGCTAAGCAACAGCAGCTCCTCCATCTCTAGATGTCTAAACTGGAATTTAAATCAGGTTAGAAATTATTAGTATTAAGTCGGAGCAGGGGGGGGAGCAAGGAGGGTGGTGGAGGAAAAAAAAATGCCTATGCCTGTGTAGGTAAAAGAACAGGAGATAGACTCAAGTTTTAAGAACAATTTATTAAACACACTTTTTTTTGATTTAAGTGATTTTTTTTTTTTTTTCAAACATTTTAAAGACAAAGGCTTGGAGAAGTAGTACAGAAAAGTTAAGTAAGGAGTTAAATAATTAATATTATGACCCAAAATAGTAGTTGCAAAAACATTTGATGACATCTACAGGAAAGAATATAAACTACAAATTATTTACGTTTGTTCTTTTGTATTTCTTATCAAACAAAGGATACGAAGCAGAGAATGTGAGAAAATACTTTTCTCTTCCCCAGCCAGTAATACTCGTTATTTCCTACTGAAAGGGATTCATCTTCCATTGCGTTTGCAACATTTGGAAAGACACTTAGTTCTCATTTAAAATATGCTGGTGCTTTTATCTCTAATGAAAGACATAATCAGGAGGCAAACCACTTTTAATATATTTTTAAAAAGCAATTAATTGCTCTATCTTAATTTTAATTTCATTATTCCTAACTACTGTTGACTGACTACTAAATACATAAGAGGATTACTATTTATTAAAAATAAAGTCATGGAAGTTGAGGCCTGGGGACAAGTAAGAGCAAAAACCGAGCAACCTGAAGTGTCTCATTGAGAAAATGACAAGTAGCACTTCAGGGAGAGGGGAAACCAATTAAATTGGAGACATATACCAGATAAAATCCATGTCTGCTACAGGATAGAACAAAGCCCACATGATTAACATAACTTCTAAAGGCACAGTACAAATTTTAGTTAAGTATCTTCCTTTGGGTCCAATCCTTTTGCACTTGCACACAGTGATGGAAACAACATTTTACAGGCTTTGTACTGTAAGGTATATGCTTCACTCTGCTGGGGAAGAGCAAACAGGATAAATCTCACTGCTTTATTTAACATTCTTCAGTTGTGTGCTTTGTTTACTATCACCCATCTTCTGAACACTTCTGGGGTTATCTCACTGTCAAATGCCTAACTTAAATCCACTGTCTTGGGTCTACATTCACGTGAGTTTCCTTACTGGATCGGGCTCCAAATAGAGCTGTGATTAAGTATCTGTGGATAATGAACACCTCGAAAGTCCAAGAAACAAATTAATGCTCTCTGAAGTGTTTCACAGCAGGTGTTGGATGTGGTCCCTGTCCAAAAAAAGTGCTCAACCTTTTCTAAAGACTTTGAATTGCTCCTACAAAAAGATCTTATTAGACTCAATACTGTGTTTTATTTATATCTTGAAATTTCAATTGGAAAAACTAAAACTGTAAGAATACAAAGCAAGTCCTGTAAGTAGTACAGTTGTATATGAAACACAGAACTCTGTAAAGGATCTTCAGGTTATTCACCTGGCATTGCTAGGGAGTAATCAACTGTATCTGTGACTGAATGGAAAAGTTGGGCCTGAGAAGCCTTCTTGAGCTGGTAAAGGAAGCCTGCCAATGCCGTCAAGTTTAACTTGTCAGCAGCATCTTCAAAGAGCCTGTGAAGAAAAGAACAGAATCTAATTGAAAGATTCATGAGATGTAGCTTAAGTATGTAAGAGGAAAACCGTTGTCTGTACATGGCTGCTATGTGTTGCCTTTGGTGACACATTGGGTTATTGAGGGCTTTTTCATTTATAGAGTGCTACAGAAAGACTTTGATCCAGAAGTTTTATTAATTGGTGGAAGGAAATTAGAGTGCTGTAGGAGCAACCAGAACCCTTCCAAGCTTCAACTATGGTTCTAAAACAAAAACTCACATTTTCAAGAGATCAGTGCTTCACCTTTACTGTGTCTCAATGCTATAAGCAGTTCATGAACCAGTAACCAAAAAAAGTGAGAATATGCCCAGTCCTTACAACACAGATCATCACAGCTTCACCGACTTCAGAGTTAAACCAGTTTTCTCCATCTGAAGTTACAATGCCTTACATGAAAAACAAATTAATTCAAGTCTCAGACCTAAAGTTGCTGGAACTGAATTGCTATTTAGGAATACAAACGAGTTATTTTCAGCTGCAATGAGCTCTTAAGATTTAAGAGTTAAAATCTGTACCCTTAAAGCAGTATCTTATGCTTACATAGGAGGTGGGTTCCACAGAGATCACAGTTAAATTTCACATGGTGCAGCCACAAGTTGACACAAATATGATTTTCTGACACTGCTCTTTGTGAAAAACTTTCTGTTTTTTTACTGTGAAAAAAAGTCCTGGGAAACTGGAGATTGAGTCCTAATAATGTCTGCATTGAAGTAACAGTACAGAAATCTAATCTGCATCATTAAAATTACAGTACTGTTATTCTGTAATCCTTGGAACCAAGTTGTATTGTGAGCTTCTGGAATAAAAGGTACTCCCCATGCACGGAGTCAAACTCCTACAAGCAATTACTGTGTATGCATTATTTTTTTAGTACAAGCAATATCTAAGTATGCATTACTTTTTCCTCTGAATTTACAAATAATGCCCTCCTATGGGCAGAGATCAAGAATGCAAAATGTCAGCTGCAGAAAAATGGTATTAGAAGCATGCAAACCCAGGAAATTTTCAACGCTAGCCTGGGCTGCCACAAAAACAGCAGAAATAGCAAAAGTCTGTGGCATATCAATCTGCAGACTGTGTTGTAGGGACATGTAACCTAGTCATTCTGTGACCATATTTGGTGGTCCTTCCTCCTCCAGACACACTGGGGTAGGCTGACAAGTTGTCCACACAGTCCTGACAGAAGCAGTTGCTTTCTGACACTGGTCTTGTCATTCAGTCCCTTCCCGTCAGGACAAGACACTTACTTATTTTGTCTGTTTTAATGAACACAATGGATTAATTTACATGCAAGCAATAAATCCACCACTCTCAGGATGCATTTGATTTACTCGGCGTATTCACTGTTGTGCACAGACATACTCAGCTCAGCACCTGCAGAGCAGGTACTGCAGAGATACAGAAAATCAAGTCTTTTAGGAACTGCTGGTTGTGACACACAGGCAGCTCTCTTGTGAAACTCAAGTGAAGGAAGTGGCTACAACAGAAAGATCAGTCCTCACTGCACCACAGAAAGGTGCATTTTGGTCCTGTTTTGGAAACAGGGATTCTGGTTCCTGACAGCACTGCTTTTACCTGTCTGCTTGCGTGGAGAGCGTGAGAACAGCCTTGGCAGCACTGGTCCCACACAGCAGGCTGCCTCCACGGAAGTCAAAAGCTCTGCCCTTACTGCTCTCCTTGATGAGTTCCTGGATAGAAACTGGCTGAATGACAGGATTGCTGCTCAGGGTGGTCTCCTGCTCAGGTGTCAGTGCCTGGGGAGACTCCCCAGGCTCAGAGTCTGGGTGCAGCCCTGCATGTGCCTGCTGTGACTGGGTGATGGTGAGGGAGGGCTGGGAAGCACCATCACTGAAGTGGGTGTGCTCCAGCGTGCTGATGTACTCACACACCCTGAGAACAAATAGAAGAAGCAAAAGATTAATACAGCCCCCAAAACAATAACTCCTACCCCCACTAATCACCAGGCTCACTAAAGAAACACTTGTGCCTGTACTCCAAAGGTGAGTCAGAAATATAGTGCAAGTACAGCTCTTGGCTGCCTCACAAGCCCCATCACTCTGAGAAACCAGCTTACATGGAAATCTGCTGCCAATTCACAGGCACTGATTTCTACAGCTGAAACAGACACAATGCACAGGACATTTTCCTCAAACTGTAAACAGACAATCTCTAACTCTCAGACTACACACAGATAACCTGTCTTCTTACATCCTTTGGCAACCCATGTGCCTAGACAGCAAATAGTTTAGTGGAGGTGCCTAAAAAGCCCATTTAGGTTCCTGGGTCTGACAGAGTCTTCTGGTAACTTTGAAGTTTCTAAGCATTGATTTTGTCTCAGAATAGCGTTAGAAAACAGCACTGTCTTTTCTCTTACAGATACTGGCAGTTAATACACTTTGACACTGTTTATACAGATCACTCCCAGAGCGTGCAAAGTCTTTTTTCTCAGCCCATTACTTTCAGGCAACATGGTATAAATTCTGTTTCTTTTGAAAAAGTTGTTCAGTACCTGAACACATGAGGCCAACAGTCCTGATTGTGGCTTCCCATCTCCAGGCCCACGTTAAGGACTGCATCCATACACAAAACATGAGCAGTGTGCAGGCAGACTCCCTGCACTTTCCCCATCTGCTCCAGTTTCTGCTCCACTTTCTGTTTCACTGCAGCATGAAAAATAAAAAAACCCAAACCATTAGCTTCTCCAGCTTTTAAACAAACACTTGTTTGCTTAAAAGGTTTGTTTATAGGGTGGTGGCAAAGGTATACAGTCTGAAAGCTATAAAATAACATGTATTTTAGACAAAAAACAAATCAGAGAAACCCATTTCTTCCTAATAAACATAAGGCAGTTTTAAAATTAAAATCCCTTTTGATTTATCTTCTATGCATGAATGCCAGATTGACATCCTCTACCCCCAAATTCACATCTCGTTGTCCACAGAACAGACGCAGATTGCCAGTGATATTACATGCTTCTCATTGGACTTGGCTGTCTGAGCATTTATTTATTTTTACCAAAATCTCCTTTCCTTTGGAAAAAAAACAGTTTGCAGATTTCACATCTATTTCAACACAGAAGTTTCTCCAAAGAGCTTTCATTAATGGATACTCTTGTCAAAGCAAAACTAATCCTGAGCTGAACTAGAAGCATTTGGACCTCATTCTTTTTCCTGAGAATCTCTGAAAAGCTTAGTTTTCATGCTGCATTGGAATGGCAACAAATTCTGAAGCTTTGCAAGCTTTCATAGAACAGATCTGTTGGCCTCAGACCAGCACTACTGTCTCCTCTTTGCTTCAGTGTGGTATGGCCAACTCACTTCAGTCATATCTAGCAGAGTGGTCAAAAGCTAGTTTGTGCTCAGGCCTATTCAGTTTTGTCTTCTCTACTGAGACACCAAATTTAAATGCCAAGCAGGGTCATTTGTGTAACATTGTGCTTTGTTATGGGCTTCCTGACATTAGAAGTCAGATGTCATCAGACACATTATATGTGCTTCTTCAGCCACTGGAGACAACAAGTGACAGTTTTAAATATCTGATGGTGATAAAAGACAATCAAGTATGTATACACAAGACAGGGAGAGGGACACAAACTCAGCTTATATTACCACCCAACACATTAAAAAAAAAAACCCAAAACCAAAACCATTTCTCTAATGCCCTCTGGTTGTACTAGTATCACAAGGCTTAAAATGTGCACATTTAAAAAATGCTGTTGGCTTACCTGTTGTTCAGGTAACTGATTTCAGTTCCATATAAAATATAATTAGTGTGACATAATGTTAAGAACACAGGACATGTACTGAAGCCTCTAGACATACATCCCATATGCCTACAAGTGAGTAGTGTACAGCAGAAGCATTCCTCTCTGTCCTTCTTCTATGCATAGCAAAGTACTTTCCAGTTGCACCTTTGCAAGCAATATGAGGTAAGGCGGGTAATTTAATCACATAGCTACCTTGTGCTATAGTATCACTGGGCTCTAGGATTTCTTTTTCCTCCTTTTCTTCTTGGACACAGGAGGCAGCTGCCATTTGGGCAAGAGCAGATGCACAGTTAGCAGCAACTCCTGCAAAGCAACAACATGATTATTATTTAACTGGCATTTCCTCCCCAATCCCATGCAATCTCAACAACAGATTGTGTCAAAGAAAGTTGGCTGGATATGTCTATGCCGTAGTGGATGTGGGCTCTATGTGGAGTCCTACAGTCCAGGTTCCTATCCAAGACTGGAACAGGATGCTGCTTTTCTCTCCCCCAAATTCCTTCAAGGAAAGTTACCATCCTCTTTTATGAGTGACATCCCACATGTAGCAGTACCTAGAGCACAGCTCAGCCGTGCTGCCCGCCTCAGTCCATCCAGGCTCACGCAGATGGAGTCCTTCTCCTTTTGGTTCTGCTCCTTGGCTCCTTCTGCTCCCAAGATGAAGGCCAGCCCCTTGGAGCTGCCTGCCATGCGGCCAGTCAGTGGTGTGGACAAAGTGTCAATTAAGTTCTTCCAACAGCCGATTAAAAGGTATCGGGCAAAAGCAACTCCTGCAGTAAGAAATGCATTACAACTACTACTGGAAAATGACACAACATCAGCTTTATCTTCAGTGGTAAAAAAACAAGTCATATTTGTCCTCTGCATGCTGGACTACGAGTTCATGTGTCGGATGTAGTGACATACTTCCCTTAACCCTTAAATTATTGTTCCACACCACAATTTATCAGAATATGCTTATGGTAAATAAAAATCCACTGCTGGTAGATACACTTGTGCTTATAATACAGTCTTAATACCTGCAACAACAGAATCATCTGTCTTCCGGTTTTGGGCAAGAGGAGATTGAGCTGAAGCAGATGCCATCAATTGGCCACCGATTGCACTGCTTCCCAAGCCGTCGATGTCTGCCAGAACATTAAAAAATAACAGATTACTATTCGACACACAGATGGTATAAGGAAAACACCTCCTACTAGCTCTTTGTTCAAATAAGTACTAGCACTCCTCACTTCTCAGGTATGGTTTTTAGTTGCTCTTTTCTGGCAGCCTTCTGAAGCCTTGGCATAAACATGAGCTGTGGCATCTTATGCTTTGCCCAGTATAACCAACATTTTAATGAAAAGGAGAAATATCCCACTCTCAAAAGCACCCCCCTCTGCATTTACACAGTCAACAGAACTCTCAAACAAGATTTCATAGTATTTCTTACGGTTCAGAACTTCTCACACCATTAAATCTCCACATTTCTTAGTATAACGTTTCAAAACTTGATAAATCTTCTATCTAGATGTTCCCAGACCTCAGGCTGAGTCCTCAGGGATCCATTGGGATCCTATGTCCTAAACACAACTTTTTGTAGACTTGTGTAGGTTCAATCTCAACAAAAGAAATACAACCCTTTCTCCAACACAACAAAAGACCAGCTTCTCATAGAGAGTTTAATGTTAGAGACGTCAGGTTGATTTAGTTTCTATCAGCCCCAGTCTGTCTGTCTCTTCTCCACATACCTCATGGCTATTGTTTTTCCAAAGTGTTTCTTTCATCTTCCCAGCTCAATAGGTAAAAGCAACACTGAGCTCAATACAATCAGCAAAATACTTTCAGAGCAGTGCCCTTTGATTACTAGTTAATGGCGCAGCTGAAGCCAGTGTTCTCCCTGCATACATTGTTTTAATTACCTCTTTGTAATCACACAGTATATACATTCAGGCAGGCAGTGTACTTTATATCAGGACAGTATCATAGACATCTTGCTGCCTTTCAGCTGATATAATTTGGGTTTTTTTTCCCTGCAAATGAAGCTAAGGATTGTTTTTAAGAAATTGTTAGAGGTGTTCTAGGTTTTCAGCTTCTCTCTAGCACCATTTGGCATATCCCTGGACCAGCACAAATCCGAACCCAGGGGAGCCCAATACGTGGAAGGCTTCCGAAATCAGATGCTACTATTTATATTTGTACTGCACCACGGGCACGCTGAAATGGCTTTCCTATGACATCAAGAAAACAGCAGCCTTACTGCTTATCATTAACAGGTACCAAGTCTACCAGAACTGAAGCTGACAGAATTAAGAGATGTTTTGGTTCAGTGAATAAACCTATTCCCCCTTCTCCCAGGGACAGTCTGTTATTAAATCCATGCTTCAAAAGCTTTCTGTCTGATCCAAAACACACATCAAAGTACCTGCCACAGTTAAGTCTGATTCCTCTACCGGTAATTTTGTGAAACACCATAGCTTGATTCAGACATGGGTTTGGAAGTTAGCCTTGCCACCGTAACATAGTACTGACCAGTCAGCATGGTGATAAGTGGAAGGCTGTGCTCTTCAGGGCTTCCCCAGTATCCAGCTTCCCCCAGCATATTCCTTTCTAGTACCTGGTGGTACAGTTCTTCAACCCAGGCCTGGGAAAATACCATCAACACTCCACTGGACTGGACCTGCTTCATGAACTCCTTCTGCAGAGAACCATAAAAGCCAGATGTTAAGACAACACTAAGCCCTTCAACATGAGCCTCAACCCCTAGTTCTACTCCTGAGTGTAAGGGAATGCAGGAGTAGAAATGAAGTCATGCAAAAATAAGAATTAACTCAGCATTGTAATGTGTTTCTATGGTAGAGAATGACATGAACAAGGAGCTTTCCCTTCTCTTACTGCAGTTGATGCAAGATGTAAATGATAATGACAGTTGTTGCACAGTGACAATGGGACATGCTGATCTCTCACTATTTACACAAGGCAGGGGTAGGATCTCAATTCCAATAAAAAGAAGTTATGGCATCTAATGCTGCCTGTCCAGCAATCAGGCCTTCTGCATTGGACAGTCATCATCAATGAACTGGGGTCCAGTTAGATATCTGAACTACTTTCAACAATACTTTGGGCGTGTTCAGGCCTATTATGCACAATGCTGTTCCTAGAGAAGGTTCTGAGTCACAGATTTGGTCTCACAGCTGCTGAAGAACGTACCAGAACTAATAATGATGTTAAAACCCACTTGTTTTTGAGGTCTTCCAGAATATAAATTCTCTACATGGGAAGCTCAGCAATAATAACACATTTTGATAGATTTTTGTTGGTTTTCATTTTTTTTCCCCATATATCACTGATTTTTTTATCTTTAGGAAAACTCTGAAACAATTTTTCTTGGGCAACTTAGTTGAAAAACATAGATTAATATTTTATAACTCCTGCAGCCTTCAAAACAACTTTTAAAAAGCCCAAGACGCTGAGGAATCCCAAGTGCCACAAAAATAATCAGTTCACACTACTAAAACTTAATTATTTTTCACTCTAACTTCTCATGTCTTTATCTGCATAAATACAAACCAAGTATTAAGGAAGACATTTGTCATTATGCTCAAAAGTAGTTGCAAGATGAAGGTATGTCCCTTGATAACGTGCATGAACAATAGTTGCTGTATCTCACGATGCTAATGAAGATCTCTTCTGAAGACAGAGTATCCATCAAAATGACTGCTACTTTAATGATAATCAGTAAACAGCATTCAATCCCCTCCCGAATTACAGAGAAGCTATGTAATTCAGATGCATGACATTTATCATGAAAGATTCATAAGCAGCTTGGAGAATGCTTCATTTGCAATTATTATTTCTCCACTTAGCAAGCAGCCTGAAGGCTTTATGTGTAGGCTGTTTTAGGTGAAAGGAATCAAAACAAATTTTCTTTTTTTAAGAGTTTTCCCATATTCCCCAACTCACCAGCAACACAGGGGCCTGGGCAGGCTTCTTCCTGTAGTAGTCTGAGTTGGCCAATTTTAGGTTGAGTAGCAAAGTGTAATGTGAGACCACGTAGAGACTGTCTCCATTCATCAGAGTCTGGAAGCTGAAATTTAGGTTTCCCTCAAATCCTGGTGAGTGCATCATACCTAACAAAAACACCATGTAAGCTCTCATACTTTAAACAGATTTTGCCTGGAAAAAAAAAGAAATCAAAAACTAACCCTATAATTTCATCATCAACAGATTGCTAGAATAGTTAATGAATCATCAGTAAAAAATACTCTACTAAATGTACTAGAATAGGGAATAGAAAAATAAGCAATCCATCTAGAATGCAGTGCTGCAAGGCAAACTGAACTCTCCAGTCACAGCCCAGCAAAGCAACATGCTAAATTGGAAATACACAAGGAGCACCAGCATTCATTGGGACGACTGCCAGGTACATCTGAATGCTAACTGAGAAGGTGAGGTGGGAAGGTGCAGAGGCAAAGCCTGTGTACTTAACTCAACATACATTGCACCAAATGGTGCTAATGAGGGTGACAGCCCTTTTAACCTTACAGTAAATTTGCCCTGGCTAAGTAAGTTGTTGGATGGTGACTGGAGTGCTCAGAACGTTGCAGGATCAGGCTGCAATTATCATTTTCTCCATGGCCTAGAGGTACATGGACAAATAACTGGGGCCAAGCTGGCTGGAACTTGTTACAACTCCAAGCCCTGTTTAGTTCATACAAGACCTGCTTTCCAGATAGCTGAGCACTTGGAGCTCTGTCAAACCCATAATCCACCTGTAAGCGCTCGGTACTCTTGGAAACACTCTTTGTATGAAACAGCCTACAACCATGCCCAGTGGCACAATCCCTTCCTCCTAGGTAGGATGGACAGCACATACATTTTTCTCTGAGTTAGCTGACCTACTGGTAGAAAAACATAAACCAAGTATGAACAATACCTAATTGAATTCCCATGATCTGTAGTTTGAGCCATGAAAAAAACCAGAAATATTAGATCCCCCCATGACCCACAATATTTCATGGTTTTCACATCAGTTGTGAAATCCATTCATATAATGTCAATTATGGAAGATTAAGGATTAAGTTTTATCCTAGAGGAACATTTGAAATGAAACAAAAAACCAGCTTCCAAGGTTAGTTACATGATGAAGCAAAGCTGTGTCATTTGTTAACTGCTGCAGTGGTTTACTGTGAATACATTCCTCCCACCATAAAGCTCATGCCTCTTCTTAGACAAAATACAACAAACCATTAACATTAAAAAAAATTAAAAAAAATCCACACACAGAAAAGAAGCAAATGTTTTTCTTGCCTCGTGAGGGTTTGAAAGCTCTGTGCTGCTGCCTTCTTGGACTTTCCACTGTCGTCACTTTGGGGGCGTGGATAAGGTGAGTAACTGTTTGAGGGTGGATTTAGAAAGAGAGTAACTGTTCCAGGGTGGGTCTAAAGAATGAATAGCTGTTCAAGGGAGCAACCTTTGTGGAAGAGAGGTGATTGGGTTGGCAACAAACCATACCCACACAGGTTGACATGTGCTTGGGATAGATTTCTCGTGGTGAATGTTAACAGAGAATTTTTACCTAGTACCAAAACTGCAACCATGTGCTTGAAAGTAGCCTGTGAGTAGCTCCAGTGACTCCTTCATCACTGAAGGCAAAGATGTATCTTAACACTCTGTTGGATGGAGGATCATGATATTGATGTAGCTAGAATATATTGATTTGATGCCTTATCTCTCTTAAATATGTACCTTGGGGACTAGAATCTGCAAGAGTAATAAAAAACTCAAGGCAGAGAGGTACATAAAAGAAAAAAAAAAAAAAAGCCCACTTTATTTTGCATTAAAATATTTTTTAAGATGTTCAACCTCCTATACAAGACTACAATTAAAAAGGAAGGTGTATAACTGCAAGGAAAAGTAGCTACTACATAGTAGGTGTGTATTTGAATACCCAAAAGTGTTTGGGAAAAATACGGTCCCTAATTTCCTCTAAAATATGGGAAAATAAACAACTACATTTGAGAGACGCTGAGATTTCAAAAGCAGATTAGCTGATGCAAAAACTTGCAATGATGCTTAACAACATAAAAACCTTGCTGCTAAAAGGTATGGAATCCAAACTGAAAAGAGGTGCTATGATTACTCACACAATGGCACACAATTTTTAGAATTAATGCCTTGACACTGCAGTTCATGAGAATAGTTATGTCTGAATTAAGATAATACTGATCATCAACTTTAATTATAAAAATCTGCCAGAGATTAGCACACTGTCTTAACAGAGACAACAGTTCATTTAAATTGGACAGGTAAAAGGAGGTCCAGAAAAAATGCAAACAATGTTTTGTGCATGTCAAGATAATGTTGAGAATTTTGAGATAATTTGGTATTTTTTAAGACAGACATCACACTTCAGTATCACTAAGGAAATTTTGGCATTGGTTTTATCTGGCAACAATGCCTCAAATTCCTAGCTCCTTTCATTGTTTTTCAGTTCTACAAGAACATAGCAATATTACAATACTATTCAAGTACCTAGCCTGTAGGAAAGACTACTAAATTTTAGTTACACTCTGAAGTGTAAGAAAAATTGAAAAATGAAAAAAAGCAGTTAAACAAAGTCTCTCAGAAACACAAAAATACTGCTTCCGTACTGTCTGCTCTCAGAACTGCACCTCTCTCTTTTCTCAACTGGAATCTTAACCAATACTCCAATTTCCTAATGTGTTCTTCAGCAGTTATACATGAATAAATATTGTACGTGCAACAAATAGGACCAATTCCTCTAACTTCATCACTTAATTTGTGTCTTGAATTGTTTGTGCTAACAAAGGAGTCCTGAAGTAAGGACTCAAACATTGCCTACAGAGGCAGATCAGACTAGTGTCTCAGAAGCTCTCCAGGGGGAGTCCCTACCCCCAGACATGTGTTTTAACTTTAGTAAGTCTCTCTCTCTACAGGTCTTCAAACTCATGCTTCTCACCTCCACAGGAACACAAGTCCTCACCTCAGGAGGACTGATGGACTTTTGCTTAAGATCTGAGGTACAAGTTAAGGGACTGTTTTAGCTGGATTGAGTCTCATTCCAGGTGTCCAACTGAAACATGATCTACACAGATCTTGTGAGAGCACAAAATTACACTTCTCTTGCAGCCACAGCTCTACAAAAACACCAGGATACCTCTTCCAAGCTAATTAGTACAGTAACTTGCTACTATATTTTTCCATGACTCCTTACTGAATGGCATCACCTAAGAATACTTCACCAAATCAGACTGAAAACATGGTACACATTTTTAAGTACGTATTTAGCCAGGGGGGTGGCTTTCTTAGGAAAGTGAAAGGTCTTCCTCAACTCAACAGTCTAAGTCCAAGATGAGGTATCTTCTTAAGGGAGATATACAAACGAGAAATTATGGACTTAATGTGTAAATCAAGTGATATTCTTCCATCTTTCTCGCTGTATTAGTCATACTAATTAGACATACTGAATGACAACAAAAGTTACATTTAGCCATAAGATCTACATGTCTGCTAGGTCTGCCTCTTCCAATGCTTTAAAACGTCCTAAAGGGATTTGACAGACAAAAGAGAAAAGATACGATATACTCGTGCACAAGGCAACAAATGTGCAAAAGTTTGAGCTAGAGTTCTAGTCTTGGTCTTTTGGCATAAACTCACTCTTTTTCAGGAAAAAGAAATCCCTTGTGACAGAAAGGATGCTTTTGAGCACTTCAATTATGCATGTAATTAATATTAATGCCCCCTTTAAGATATCTCTGTTCTGTAATATAACATGGCCAATGTTTCTTAAGAATGTCATTTACCATCTTCCTGAGTTAGGGTTTATTTGGGCAACATTTAAACAGAGTATCAGGAATATCAGCTTATTCACCCAGATTCATATCTAAACTATGCTGCATGATGATAGGAGGCATCCCTTCTGACTCTGTATGAGTTTAATGCATGGGAGAGAGCACAAATGAATGAAGCAATGATTAGGAGAGGAGCAATAGGAAAGGCAGTTGTGGTGAATTAAGTTAAAGAAACAGAAAAATATATTTTAACAAACATTTCCACTTTGGCCACTATCAGGAAAAAGAAACCCACCTAAACATATATATATATACACATATATATATGTGTGTGTGTGTGTGTGTGTGTATATATATACACACACACACACGCACACACACACATTTTAAATATACTATCAACAGGACAAACTAGCCTTTACATGGTGTTTTTTTGTTCAGTTGACCAAGTCAAGATTCCAAAGGTTCTAACCCTGAAAGAATTGCAGGTATTTAATCTCTTAAAAATTAAGATCTTTAACTATTTTTTACTTTGAGCTTTGCATTTACAGTAATGACAGATAGCAGCATTAAGAAAAACAGAAGAGTGAAGAAGAGAGTTGTTCCTCTTTTCTTATCCTTTCAAGAGCTTACTGCTGTGGAACTTTTATCACCTTCTTTGCAAGGCTGCATTACTAATAGTAATGCAGTGATGTACTAAGATACTTAAAGGTGATGGTCCTCCCCCACACCCCTTTCATGCTAAGAGGCAACCCCAACCTCTCTTTAATGACACCATGTGCAAGTCTTCTCAACAGATCTTCACGAACCTCTGAACAGGTATCTTACTACAGAAAATTTGATTTCTCTATTGACTGAGGATGTAATCCAAAGCCTGTTAAGAGTTAATGGATTGACCTCGCTTTGAATCAGTGCCTGCATATTCAATTTGCTTTGCCCTAAAGTGTGCTGCTCTGGAGGAACGTGCTTTGTAAAGCACAAATCTCCTTATTCTGGATATGTTCTCTGAAGATGAAATCCTACAAGAGAATCTTTGTACAGCGTTGTCACAGTGTGCATCCTGGTTAGACAGTAAATATTTGCTTGCAAACCTGAGCAGAAGGTTGAAGAGAAGCTCTGCAGTGCTCCATCCACCTCCTCTATGCTGGGAAGAGCCACAAGCCGAGGAAGAAGAGCTTCAAGTGACTGGATAAACAGCCGCGCACTGTGCTGGTCTGCTTCTTGGTTTTTCAGCAATTTCAGAGAGAGAGCAGCAGTACGTAAGGACCTGTGACCTGGACAATCCCGTGGTGTCTGCTCCTCGTCAGCCAGGGAGCAATTGTCAGAGCCTATGTCTGAGACATCTGACCTGCCTGAATCCTTCTCTGCTGCCATGGAATACTGATCGCACGAATCAAACTCAGTTCTAGAAAGGTCCTGTTCATCTACACTGAAGTTACTTTCACTGTATCTGGATCCATAGGACCGGGTCTTGCAATCAACCGATAAGAAGTTAGTTATATCTGGATAGACTATGGTGTGGCTTCTCTGAACAACATCTGGCTGGTCAATGGTTTCTGACTCCGGTTCTCTGTAACGAATCTCTTTGCTTTCATGTCCAGCTGGAGATGGCAATGAGTTTTTTTGACTTTCTGGATTATCCTCTGGAGTTGTCTGTCCCATATCCCCTTCCAAAGTGGTCTGACCAGTGTCTGTGGTAACACTAATGCTAATATCAGGACTCTTCTCATTTCCTGATTCCCAAGCAGGATTTTCTGAGGACAGGATGCGCCTCTGCCACCTAAAGTCAGCATCATTGATCTCCATGGAGTCCCTGCTCGTCTCGGTCCCATCCTTCAATTCTTCTAAGCGCCGCAGCAGCAGCTGGATCTGCTCTTCACTAAGACCCCTCCCTTGGCTCAGCTCATCTAATGCTCCAAGCAGGGCAAAGACGCAGGACACTGAAGCATAACATGCTTCAATACCACCTTTGATACATGCTTCTGTCATCCCATCCATGATACTACAATTAAAACAGAGTTTATTTAAGCGATGCAGCACATATACTGAGTGTATGTCACTATCACCCAACACCATCCCTCCATTACCAGGAAAAAATGAAGTGGAATTATCCTGTAAGACTACTCCTGAGAAAGACTACTAGTATTAGAACAAATTATTATGTCTCCCGTGTGGACACGGCCACTCTATAAAGGGAGTGACAACCAGGGATACTGTGCATTTGTACCAGCATGCACAGCATGTTTTCCATTGCAGACAAGCACTTTCAATGAAAAAAAATCTCAGCACCCAACTGAAGCTAAATTTGAAGCCATCTGTATCCTTAAAATTATCTTAACTACAAGATACGATCTTTATAAGAACTGAGAATCTTTCTTGCTCAGTCTGACAATGTTTAAGTTTTTTATTACCTCCGTTGACTTCATCTTGGAAATGTACATCTAAATAAGCACACAGTTATTTCACTGCAAGGTTAGGGACCCAAAGCCAAGAATTTCCAGCTCTAAACCAGCATATTTGGGTACTTTTGGCAAAATCCAAAAGGTAGTTATCTATGCCTTTACAAAGAGGCTCAGAATGACGACAAACCAGTTAAGACCTTTCACCCCTCTTCCACTTTCACAGCTCATTTAACCAGGGACATACCCTGGCTCACATTTGGGTATGCCTTTGAAGGTACAACTGTTTACATGTCCTATGCGCACAGGTTTAAGAGAGAAGAGGCTAAAGGAGGAAACAAAGCATACAGCTTCAGAAGATCCAGATGGGATTTCCTTTTAGAAATAGACCTCTTCCTGGATTCTGACTCAGAAGAGCAAGGCCCTGCCAAATCACAAAGCCGTCGAGGACTGCCAAGTATCTGAAAGGAAAGGAAACAGAAGTTACCAGAGGATTATCTAAGCATTATTTAAACTCAATAAATGAGTCATGTTTCTATCAAGCCCCAGAAACCAAGGTAGCAGTACTGTAATTTCTCAAAGGAAAACAGCACACTGATGTTCTACTTATTAAAGCTACCTTTCCTCTTTTTAAAGGCAGAAAAGCAGATAAAGGAGAGCAGAATATTAAATAAAAATCACACAGAGAATGTTCTCCACTGCCTTACATTTTTGACTGAATATGTTTCAATTGATACTGCACACTAGACAATCTTCATGCCTAAATATAGAGCAAGTATCTTGCATTATATTATATACAAAAGGAGGCCTTTCTATTCAGTCACACAGTTACAAAATGATACAGTCATGCAAAATTAGGCAAAGTGACTCTTTCTGACTCAACCTGATGGGTGGCATCCTCTTAATACTCACCAGGAAATACATGGAGAAGGCTTTACAAACAAGCTCATATCAATAAACAGAAAGAGGTAAAAGATATGTCCTGCAGGAAACAACATTAGACTGAGCTTCTCCTAAAACTTCAGTTGTCATCTTGCTATTGTATAAAATTAGAGGAAGACAAGTGCGAGGGTGACTGCCAGTTCAGACAACAACACAGTGGCTGAGGTGTTAGGAGAGATCTTCAGACATAGAACAGCCCACGTATGCACAAGCTAGAACAAAAGTCCTCTAAGAGAGACCACTGTTCCTACAAATTATGTAAGATGCCTTGTGTTCCACGACATGAGAAGAAAGCTGCACATGTGAAATGGTAGAGTCCATGATTTCAGCTGCTGCTCAAAGTAGTCTCACAATGCTCCAGCTCTAGTGCTGTCAGAGGCTCTGAGCAAGAGGCCAGAATGGGCTGGTCTTGACATGGCTGCTTAAGACATTGGCAGCTTCCTTGTGGCTATTCTAATAAAGCTCAAGGAAATGGTATTTCAAAAACCTGGCATGTAATCAAAGCACATATTCACCTTAATGCCTGGAATACTACCCTATGAGGATGAATGCCTCCTTCTAGCAAAAGCAAAGAGTGGGGAAAGATGCCAAAGAAGTTGAGAACTGGATCACTATACTGTATCTCACCCAAAAGAGCAGTCATGACTCAGTGATAAAATATGCTCCATGCAGTACCACAGCATGAACGCTGACAGAGTTGCCATAGCAGCTTGCGTTATGGAGACAAATATAGCTATTACCATGTTGTAAAACTAAAAATATTTGTCAGAGTGGCTTTGATGTAACAGCTGTGCTCAGAAAGGGCAATTTCAACATCTCTAGTGCTAAGGCATGGAATGGACTGGTATGCATGTAGCAGCAACATTTACTGTTAAATAAACATTTTGCTTTACATGCTTGGATTTGCACATGATTATCCTACCTCTTTCATAATTTTGATGGCTTCTACCCGGTGCTGAGGTGGTGGGTAAAGCAACATACGGTGATAGAGAGACTGCAGCACAGGCTTCATGGATTCCACTGATCCCACCAGTCGAACCAGTTCTGCTGCAATATAATATATGGTCCGTGCAACTGGCCCACTAAGAGCAGGTGCTGTGGAGGAACAACCTGAACCCCGGCCATGATCAGAGATCCCTGAGGAAGGTGAATCAGCCTCAAGGCAGATGCTGCTGTGGGCAGAGGTGATAGTTTTGTCATGGATTGGATTTCCCAGGATTACTACTAGGGCTGGACACAGTTGCTTCCTGAGAAAAAGAGAAAAGCAGCAGATGGTAATTGAAAAAAAACCAAACAAAACAACTCACAGGAACAGATTGAAAATAGCCCACAGTTAAATGAGATACACACTCTTGTTTTAATGATCAGTTAACAGCAGTGCCTAGATAGAGCAACAAATTACACCAGGTTTTTTTCATCTCTGAAGCATCAGCATGTTAGTACACATGGGAATACTTTTGGGTGCTTTATAAACATGATACTGATTTTGCAAGTTCATGTTGCTGCACAGCGCTGCCACTTACAGAATAGCCTGCCTGCCTCTTTCATTGGCTGCAACCTATCACGAGGTAGAAATTGTAGGTTTCTACTGCCAAGTGTTTCTTCTTCAGTCCAACTTGGGAGCTTTAAAAAAATCTGACCAAACAAAAACCAATCTATGTTAACTAGAAGGCCTGATGTTCCATCACTGAACTGCACATGCATGTTTTTTAGTAAGCACCCTTAGTTGTGAGCCTCTTGCTAGCTTTTGAGAACATAATGAAAGCCTTCTATAGTAACTCAAAGTGTGCACTGGAACTCCTCGTATGCCACTATACGCTAAAAATGCCATCCTTCCTTCAACTGTCTTTCTGCATGAACACTCAAGATAAGTGATTCCACATCAGCAGATCACTTTTCTGTGGAACCAGAGCCAAAAACAACTCAGCACTTTGCTCCACTAGCTGTTACTTCAGCTTTGCACTCATGCAGTTGACATTTTACTTCAGTCTGCAAGACCCTAATTTAAAAAGACAAGTGCTGCATGAGAATGCTGTCCTAAACCTGATTCTCACCCACATGCCTCAGAGGTTCAAGCTGGAACATAAAGCAAGCATGCAATGACAAGCAATGATTTAGCATAAAAAGTAACACATACTTATGGGTAAGTACATCTTATTTTCTCAAGATTTTTATGCAGCACAGAACTTTCATTGCTTCTCTTAACACGCTTGCTAAAACAGCTCAGCTTCCTGAAGTCACAGAAATTGAAAACAGCTTTTAATCAGTTAGCAGATAATAACTTTGAGTCTGCTTATTCCATTTCTTTCTCCAATCAGGTACACTTCAAAACATATCAATTCATTGCTTAAGAAACGTGCTGGCCTCGAAGCAGGCATAATCACAAGTTGCAACAGCAGCATATTCTCCATCACATCTTAGTCCCATCAAAGTGTTTCTGTATCAAACTATGGCGAACGCTGTCAGAAGAACACAGAGCTAAATCTTCTCTGTCTGCTCTCTTCTTTACCTTCTGTTGAGAACTGACTACAAAGTGCCAGCCAGAGAGAAAACTGTGTGCATGTAGGCAACAGCTCCTTAAAGAACAAAGACAACTATCAGTTTGGTTCACAGCTTTACTAGACAGCTAATGGAACTGTGTGTACTTACACCGTTATATATTCAAAATGATGTTTGCAGTTTAAGCTGTTTCGTGTCTTCCTAGTGTTTTGTGGGCTTTTTTCCACTTCATCTTAAACATGTAGTTGGAGGTTGCACATTCCTTGGCAGCAGTACAGCTTAAGTAATCCTGCCCCTGATGGCTTGTCCTCATGATACAGAGTTACAAATACAAACACCTATAGATTTGCAGCATAAACTGGGTAAATTTAATATAAATGAGGAAGTGTTTTCTTTTAACCAACATCATTTCAGTGACCTTGCTTATAGAACGGACTCACACTCAGCCATATAAGCATAAACAAAGGGTTGGGTGAAATTCAAGGGCATAAACTTTTGAAATGGGTTTGCCATGAAAAAAAGAGAATTCTGCTCTTACATTAGAGCTCCCAGAGGCTTCAGAACAGGGTCCCTGTGCAATGCTGCCAAGTGTTATCAACCTGAAGACCTCACAGTCCAGCAGCCACTGACTTTCCTGGGACAGCAAGGGAAGTTATGGATGCCTCTACATATTTCATCCTTAGACTCGGGCCCAAGTCAAACACTTCCATTTCAAAAATTACAGGTAAAAGCACAAGAAACACATCTGCCATTAGGAGTTGTGTATCTTTTCTTAACACAATCATCCACCAAGGTCACAGGATGGGCACGGACTGCAAGGAACAGCATATTAGTTATATTACTGCTTTATTACTATGACTCAATTATCCATATGTTATAAAAAAACCCCACTACTGCAAACAAAAAGAGGGAAAAAGATTATTTCAGGTGCTCTGAGGTGATGGTATCAAACTATTTAGAGGCAGATATGAACACTAAAGACATCAAGCCTTTCTCGTTTAGTGTATTAAAAAGAGGATTTCTTGATAAAGCGGAAGCACCATGAAGACCATTTAGACTCAGCCCTTATACAATGCAGGTCATAAGCATTTCCAGTCACTAGCACACCATCTGACATTAATTCTGCTTATCTTCCTGTATTACTGCATCAGAGCAGCAAGAATCTGTACAGCACCCTCCTACGGGAAGCAGAAATCTGAACTATTGCAGAAAGTGTAAGAGATTTTCTGTTCTGGCCAAATACATTAGATTTCATTACAGCTAGAATTCACTACAGTGATTTAATGTGCTAGCTGAGCATGAGGTCCTAATCAATCTTATATGAGGCACTGAATGAACTGATAGTAGGTTAACAGTGAGCTCTGCTCACGGCTAGAGATTTATTACAGGTTTGTTTGCATGGATAGGGGGAGAAGGTCCTTTTATACTTACAAACTGAATATTTGCATTAGTCTTCAGATGTACTCACCATATTAGATCAGTGAATCCTTTGTGCTGGTGCATGCTGGGAGAGGAGCTGTTTAACATGGAGAGGATGCACTCCAAGTAAAGAAGCTGAAGTTGACGATTGTCACTGGCAAAGAGAAAAGATACCATTCACATCACATTAAAACAAAGATTATTTAATTTTCTAAAACAACTACATTAGTTCGTTCGGAAATTATACCATAATTTACAGCAGTGATTTATTTTCCTTCTTCCTAAGGATTTATAATGGTGTGACCATTTTTATCATCCCATTTATTTTGTACTGATCACATGCAGCGATATGCTACTTTTTGTAATAACAGAAAGAAAACAGATTTCATTAATCAAATTTCAGAGTGAAAATTTTTTTAAAAATCTATGTGGAAAAAAGAGGAAGAAGAAAACAGAAATAATTATTCAAATTCAGTTTAAGGGAGGAACCCTTAAACAGAGGAAAATGAGACAACTGGAAGATTTTTGATTATTGGATAGTTTTTTCAGGCAATCTGAAGGGCATTTAGGCTGCTCTCTTCTGGTTATTTTTTCTCTTTTCTTGATTACAACCACAATAGGCAGAAGTCAATGACTACAGGCAAAAACTCACATGATGACATGGCTACCTTTCAGGTCCTTGACAGTTACTCTGTCAAAACCATAAACACAAAGTGAGCTTCCTGAGAAAGAACATTAAAAGATCCTGTGTACACCTGGAACTGATGCACTTGTAACATACAATGTGCGTGTACCTACCCTCAGAATTATCTGCAGGATTCAGGAGACAAGCAAGGCTGAGGTCTGCCTTATTAAAGGAACTCCCCATGCCAACTGCACTCACATTCTGGTTTTCATTCTTAAAATGACTAGAATTTAATCATTCGTTGTTGGTCCAAGATGAGACCTGGAGGAATGTATTTTCTCATGTATGATGGTAGGTAAAGGCATCTGTAAAGGATGGATTTATCTTAACTGAAATAAAGGAATGAGAAATATCTGCTCTTCTTTTACTGCCTGAATTCCTTTTGTTCACATAGAAGAATTTTCATACAAGTGGGACAGTACTTGTTTCACATGCCATGCAGAAAACACTGAAACCTGAGGCTCAAAGCTAGATTTCTAACCCTGTGCTACGGAGGGTTTAAAACTGCTGGCTGGTTATTATTTTAGAGGTGATAGCCTTTTTGTCACAACAGTCCGCACCTATCTGGAAAGATACACACATTCCAGATACAATTGCTTTCTCTCCTGACTTAAGCTTTTCTTACAATGTGTCTTAATGCAGATCATCAACATCTTGCAGCTGATGCTTACATGGGCATGCACAGGGCATCCCCGCACTCTTGACTGCTCTGATGCCTCTTACTACCAACTTGTTTTCCTGCAGGTAAGAAATAAACATTGCACTCCTGCACACCTCAGCATAGCTGTTATGTTCATATCACTGCTGCCACAAATTCTAGTCACCAAAGCCACCAGTGGTCCAGAGAAAGAAATTCACCTCCCTGAATTCTTCCTCATCACTCACAGCTGTGCCTCCCTCAAAACCAAATAATAATCTTGAAATTTAGAAGAAGAAATTAAAATTATTAACTAAAGTTATAGAACAGGCAGTATAGCACACTAAAACCTCACTTCAGTGATATGGAGGTTAGAAAGTTAAGCTGCTGACAATGAAGTGTTTGGAAGGAGATGCCAAAATTGGCTTTAAAAGATATAAAGTCTTTTCATTAATGGAGTTATTTCTTTAACAAGCCATCATAATTAAATTTATTTTCCTCAGATTCAGTCAGAATCCTTTACTATGCTTTGCACATAATTAGAGATCCTAACAGTCTAGGTACATAATTACAAGCATGAACTAAATCAAGGCTCAGTATTTTTAAGTCCTCTGTATTTCTTATTATTGTACTTTATCTACAATCTAAATTCCTCAATCTGTTCTAATTCCATACAGTTTTATGGGGAGCTGGGATAGCAGATAATTTTTTAAAAGACTTTCAGTGATTTTGAGAGATCCTTTCAAGTAGTGTAGTTTTGATATTTCATAACCAGTAATTTAAAGTGATTATCATTTGGTGGACAACACTTATAAGATTATATCTGTTTATAGCTTCATGTGTGGGCAAAATTTAATACAAAGAATTAATCTTTCAGCTGGTTTTGCCACTTCCTATTGTTAGATACACACTTTGGAAGATCTCTTTTTATTGCCCTGTAACTATGCATACAACTGAAAAAAAAAAAAAAAAAAAAAGATCCTTTAGAAGATTCAGAAACCTGCTTTTGTTTTCCCAAATGCTGACACTGTTTAAATAATGCTAGGTAAGGCACTCTTCCCATTCAAATCTTGCTGTAATTAGAGACACTCCTGGGAGGAAAGCCTATAGAAGAACTGCACACAAAGATGTCTGTGCTGTCTTTGGCTCTGGTAGTTCCTAAGCCACAGACTTTCTGAAAATGATAGAGCGTATAAAAGGAAGTACCAATGCATGCTTGTTTTGTATTTCCCCCATTTCCCCAAGTTCATCACAGACTACTTTCAGAGACATATGGTCCAACCAAAGAGACAACTTTATGCTACATTTAAAATAGTTTCAGACTGGCTTTTTCACTACCACTCAGGTGACTTGCAACTGGCAGTAGTAGCAAGTAGCAATCTTATTTTACTGATACAGAAACAGTGTCATTAAGTAAGAATTTGTTTTTCCCTTAAAACTTTCAAAGTATTTCCAGTCTGCTATATTTCCAGTTTTTAAATAACTGCTGTATAATGTTTGCATTGCTTTTGGCCAGTTTGTTACCTCTCTAACACTTGAGGCTTTTTATTGTCTCATTCCTTAATAGACCAGTAGTTGAACGGTGCTAAAATGCCACAGGAAGTAATTTTGAACTCATGAGTAAGTATTTACTGTCACAGTACTGGCCAACAGGAGACTCTAGTATTTTAATGCAGTGTAACACCCTATTAATGCCCATAATAACTGCATTTTGGAAGTCAGGCTCATGCATTTCCAAGCAGATAGAGTGTATGATATTTTTAAATTTAAGGAATGCTTTGGTAATGCAAATTATTTCAATTGGATAAATGCTGCCTTTCTAAGAAGGACATATTAATTCATTCTGCATATTAAATGTTTCTGTTAAATTTTTCCATATCTCTTGTAATTGTTCTCTCTACAATGGTTGCTTTCAAGCCAGAAAAGAAAAATTCTCCTTTGACAAGTATTTTGCTGTACGGGAGTTACTTATAGATGAGATTTACTGGAAGCTCTTTAAAGCTGAACAGTGCACAGATAAGGCAAATTAGCTTTTCATCTCAAGTGACGACCAAATTAATGCATCATGAACAACACTTCCTCTAATAAACACTTCACTGAAGTACAATTTTTCTCCATAATCCCAGAACTACAACAGTGCAATCACATGTATCAGTGATACTCTCAATCTCCAATTATAAACTGAAATAACTTACTTTATGACAGCCTGGAGTTTCTCACAGAGCACAGTGAGGACAGATACAACATCATCACAAAGAGCCTCAGTGGAAGTACCTCCAAAAAGGACAAAGATCAGAGGCATTACATATGTGCAGATGGATTACAACCTCAGCTCACTGCATAGACTTTCAGAGTTGTTCAAAGCTTCTAAACAATGAGCAGGGCTGCCAAAATTAATAAAAAAGATGCAGTAGGAAAAGTCCTAGATTGGAAAGTGATCTCCACACAATGAAAAAGCAGTAATATTAAATCTGAGGAGAGCACTGATTGTTTACATGCATTTACAGAAGACTAGCTGAAATCCAATTCAGATAATAAGTATATTAATAAATAATTTTAAAAGGACTGGCTCCAGTACTTCTACATGGCAGCTAAAATTTATGTATCTCTCCCTGTAGTTTGTCTCTGCTACACAGTTTCTGATGTCTGATCAGGTCCTGATCTTAAAAGAGGATGCTTGTGCACTTTAAAGATTTTAGCCTCCATCCACACAAGTTCTCCTGCAGAAATCCAATGAGATGATCAAAAGCAGAGATTATTTTCACCTATCACGGAAGATAGTGGAAGTTAACTCAAAACAGGAATAGAAAGAATTCTCTTGTAAAATAATCATTTGGCAAGTGTGAACACACCTTTGCTAGAGATGCACTTTCAAAAGCTGCTGTTATACAAACCACATCTCTGCAGATAACACAATCATTTTCAGATTCTGCATCCTACTCCACGAAACTGTTTCAATTTAGGAGATAAAGCCACTTACTAAAACTTTCTCCAGAGCACTGAAACTCCTTTATTACAGAAGTTAGCACCTTGAAACAATAGTTTATGTTAAGTGCAATGCTGTTACCATGGTCCAGATGAAGACATGACTGAAAATACTAGGAACTAACAGGGCTGTCTCAGTTCTATGAAGAAGGTAAGAAATCCTGAAGATGCAATTCCTTTGACATCAAACAGTACTGTGCTGACAAAAGGAAAGTGGAGATTAGAAAAGCTGGATTGGAAGAAGTTACTAAAAAAGTGGTACAAATACCTTGAGTCTTGACTTTCTGCAAGGTGTCATGGTTTTCAACTGTCTGTTAAGGAAAGAAAAGGTGGTGTAGAAGCAGTAGAAAAACACTGTAAAAGCAATACTTTAACAGCAGAGCTTTCTTAACAAATCTATACTCTCTATCTGTTCTGGGGTTTTTGTTTGTTAGGTTTTTTTAAGTGAAGCTTTTGCATAACATTTTCAAAAATTCCTTAAGATCTGTTTTAACAGTAATTTATATTTAACAAACTCACATCTCATTAAGCTGAACTAGGATTTGCAAGTCCTTAAGAGATTTCCTACACCTAAAAAACCTCAGTAATAACTAGGCATGTAAGTCACACTGAAAGTAACTGAGAGGAAAGCACAGTCTAGATTTCACAAAATACTTAGAACCTCAAATCAACTGAGTATTAGACAGTTTACCACATTGTCAACGTTAATATTACAGTGCCAACACAATTAATGGCTGTCAGGAAATGGAAATGACCTCTTACATCCCTTGGTTCAGCTGTGGTATAGGATTCTTCCTATCAATGCACAAAGGGGTCAAGCCAAATTCTCCTCTCAAGCACCAAGAGCAACCTTCCAGGAACTAAATGCAGCTAAGAACAGAACTAACAAAATTCAACTTTCAGACCCAAAATTAAATGTCAAAACTTCTGGGTTTGGTTTGCATGTTTTTGTTTTTGTTTTTTTTTTTTGTTTTTTTTTTTTTTTTTGTGTAGGAACAGAGCACAGACAGAAGATAAGTAAACTGATTAATTCTGTTCTGCAGTTGCTCATTAGTTTATAAATAATAGTCTAATAATTCAAAACAGAATTGATCATCTTAACCCAAAACAGTTGTAAGGAAAATAATCTGTACAACTACAGTCCTTAAATTTTCCTAATAAACAGAAACTGATTTTTATGAATGGTACTTTTTGGATAACATGAAAATACACAAAGCAGCACGAACAAATGTAAGAAGCCAATGTAATATCACATGTGCCCAGAACATTTACAGTTTTACTGACAATGTGCTGGGATTTCATCCAAACAGCTCTCATGGATTTAATAGTGCAATAAATAGAATTTATTTTTTTGCTGTATTTCATAAGCTGAAATTATCTCCTGCAAAAAAGTAGAAGAAAAATCAAAATTATACTTTACTTAGTCAAGAATTTGCTTTGTTTATATAAATATTTGTCATGCAAAAACTTTTGGCAAAAGGATTTCAATGATCCTTAGGTAAATAAGAAAACAAAATAAAGAATGGAAAAGGAAAAGGCCAAGGTAGCCTGACATCAGAGCAAAGCCTCTTTTTGCTTAATGGAAGGAGAAAAAAAAAAAACCATGCAAGTAGAACTGACAATGGGAGAGCTGTGTTTCCAACAGACTGCTCTGAGACAGGTGCAGAGTCAGAGCCCAAAAAAGCTTTTAAACAGGATTAATTGTGAAATTGTCAAATAAAAGCCATAAGGCACAACAAGCCAGTACAATACACTGCAGCCATGGACACGGAACCATTTGTTGATGCCAGAAGGCTCACCATATTTTCTTGCTTTTGTCGTAACTGTAAAGTCAAGTCACTCAACATTTGGCTGAGGGTTGCCCGCACAGCGGTGTTAATGCTCCGCTGGTGACAGCTAGATACATATGTCTCAATGCAAACCTAATGAGGAAACAAGATAGCAGCACATAGATATCAACTGTAACTTACCAGTAACACAGTTTAGGAGGATACCAAGGTCTCTCACATGCAGATAGTCAGCCTTCCTTACTATTTCACACTGGTTTATTAGCACATAAAAAGTTTTCGGCAACATGGAAAACTGAGTAAGTAGCATTCAGAAGCAGCACGCAATTCATCAGTGAGTCTCACAGCTGCAGGAACGGTAAGGCAAAACAGGCAGCATCTTTCCCTTCTGTCAAACACAAGTGATTTTGGCACTTGCCTTGCTCTGTAGATAATTCCCTAAACGCTGCTTCGATTTCTAAGTACTTATTTGTAACTATCACTCTGCAAGTCTGTATCTGCAACGTAAATACCCTCCAATTTTTAAGGTTGTTGCTTCTGTTGTATACAAGTATTCACCACTTTTTCTATAATTAATTATTAACTACTGTAGCACATCTGAAAGCCTAATACAGAAAAAACAATACTGTTTTACCATAAATAACATAAATTATTGCCTTTTAACACCTGGCAATCAACCTGACAGCTCCTCAGCTCAGAGATCCCACGGGAGCCAAGGCTGCAATGAAAGAACACTGATGGATCACGCAGTTCCCAGCTCCATGCCCAGCTGCTTGCAGTTTTTTAACGCTGTGCTGTGATCAGAGTCATGCTTGACTTTTGCCCTCAGATGTTATTATGCAAATAGTCACCAAAGCACAAGGCTGCTAGGATCCTGGGGACAGCACACTGCAAAACGCAGTTTCTATCCTTGATCAGATATTCTGTGGGAGGTGTTGGGTCTCTGGAAGACCTGCTTTAACTGTAGTAACCACTGTAACTACTGCACAGTAACTACTAAGTGGCTAACAGTCCTGATGCAGCTGAGTTTGCAGCTGTTTGCAACAGAACCGTGTGCTACAACCTTCTCAGACTGTGACTCAAATAAGCAGTTTTGGTCCTTTGGCCTACGCGGAGTTTTACTGTTAGCAATGACCATTAAAAATGTAAGTGACTGTTCATATACTTTTCAGTCTTTGTGGTTTTTTTTTTTTTTTTTGCAATCATTCAGATATATGGCTAGTGAGAAGAACCATGATTATAGATTAAACTAGCTGTGGAAAAAAAGTAATTAAAAATATAGTATAAATAATATGAATGAAGAGTATACATAAACACACCTGGTGTACGTTTTTGAATGAGAAGGATAATATATAATGTAAAGCCATTTTTATAGTTCCCTAATGAGGATGAGTTTTTAAGAGGGAAAACAGAAGTGATCTGATTATATAGGCTAATCAGTATTGGCATGGGCACATAGACAACACTCTTGATTGTTTCTAATCCTACTGAAATGAAACCAAGCTAATCCATTGACTGAGAAAGAATGTCTGTGGGCTCAAGGCTATGAAGTTTAAGATGATCACGTTGCTGGCACATTTCTGTGTTTGTTAGAGCGGAAAACAACAGGTATGTTCCCAAGACCCTTTTGATCTTCTCACTTTGGGTGCTCTCAAAGTCTCTAAGACGTCACACATAGAAGCTACTTGACTATGGTTCTTGCCTTATTTTCCCCTATTTTACAACTATACTAAGAGATAACACTCCAGAGCTTTTCTCTCATCATCTCATTCTAGAAACACTATGCAAATGACATAAACAGAGATTGATTACATCCTTTGACAATACACTAGAACAGGTTACAGCTGGATGCATTTTCAGGCTATAAGGGACCAAATCAACAGCATATCTCATTCCCGTTGCCCCTTTTCTAGATTCCAAGAGCCCCTCAAATAATGCCTCCCAAAAATAAAGGATTTTATTTAGCTTGAGATCAATCAGTCAGTGATGAAGATGGTCTTGTAAGTTAAAAGAAGGCCTGGACGAACTCTGCCCATCATTCAGCTATCCCCTGAACTCCAGTGTTCAAAAAAACCCTAAAGCCTGTTAACCATGTACAGCCCTTCACAGATGCCAAACCATTCCAGTGCTGCTGATATCACTCTCTTGAGCTGTAAATCTTTAGAGTACCCGAATTATTGATGAAATACCATTCTTAGAGGTAGGCTGACTTTCTGGAAAGAGCATGGTTTATCTCTCCTTTTTCTCTCCCCTTCCCCATGCTGGCTAATGAGCAACAGTACTGTCCACTTGAGCTCTGATCTTACAGAGGCCTGTGTTCCAAAATGGCTGGGCAAGATACCTTGTGAAAAGCCATTGATGAAGAAGCACCAGTAAAAATGCGAGAGCTGAGGGCCTCAAGGAGGTGTGCAATGGACATTTTGATCATTTCATGCATTCGGGGACTTCCAGCTCTATGACATGCAAAACACAACTAAGAGCAAAACACAGAAGGGTTAGCCAATGAAACACAACACAAACAAACCTCCAAAGGTAGACAGGAGTAACAAATACACACATAAAACCAAGCAACAGTCAGAGGACAAACTAAATTTTCTTGCAGGGTTCTAGGCAAGCATGGGAAGGTGCACACAGTAAGATTTAGTCTGTTCTCAATATTTAAGCCACAAAATATAGTACTCTTCATGTTGGATGCTTTTATAATTTGAAGCTGAAAATATCCATAAAGATTTGGGGTGCCGTTATTTTGTACACATGAATTGAGAACGATCAGGCAGAGCAAAATGGCCAGACTGTAGCCTTGTTTGTCAGAGAGTCCTCAGAGAGTTCTAACAGTAACCCAGGCAACACCTTTCCAGTTCTGTAGTGGCTCCACTTTGCTATAGAGGGCAGGCTAGGAAAACTAAGGGATTAACTTAACTAAATAGCACAGGCACTGGAGCAGAAGGCTCCTCTCTGCCACCTTTCCCTTAGAGCAAGTCAAAACAATAAATGCTGAGGCCAAGCAAATGCTGAACTTGGAAATAGTTTTCTGTTTCCTACTGCTTATAGGTTACAGAATTCAGACACAAAGGCATATTGAGTCCACCTGCTACAGCCTTTGCTTTATCTAAAACCTGACCAGGAAGAACCTGAGGAAGCGTGTATGAGCCTGCCAAGACTTGCTAATTAGAAAGACCTATGCATTCACTGAGGCAATATTTTCTTGAGGTGCGTGGGGAAAATAGCTGTACCTCCAAACACTCCAAATAGAAACACGCATGCTCTGTATTACAGCTTGTTCCAGTTCCCTGAAGGAAATGAAAGTTTTGTTTGCTTTCTGGCACACCTCATCAGCCTGCATCAGGACTCCTGTTCATTTTAAAGGAAAAAAAGACAAACTATCATTGTGCTAACTTGTACCAGTATACTAGCAAAGGTTTTTAAGAGCTAGGCTGGTCATTTGGGAATGAAAGTGAAGTGCAGCTACCAAGAACAGCAGGGTTTAACTCCACTCCATGAAAGAAAACTGACATTTGTCAGGATGCTTTAAACTAATAACAGTTCTATTGTTACCCAAATTTACAGAGAACATAAAATATGATTTCTGATACAGCTTATAGCACACAGACCAGGACTGATGGACCATATTCCCCCAGTCTTAAGCAGTGCTCTTAAGGAGTGAAATCTGAAAGGTTTAGGGCCATTACATGCTTTTCCCTGTAAGTATTTTGTCTAAGCTAAAACTCTCTTAACTACAGCAAAGAGATGCCCTAAGCTGAATTAATCAGCTTTTGCCTTGCATGTTAAAAAGTCTGCTGAGAAAAACTGCAGTGTGGGCAACTATCTGTATTTTCTTCAGTTTGGGACACCTGAGAAAGAAAACATCTCTAAATGTCTACATAAACTTGGAGTATAGGACATGTATGTAACCTCTACATTGCTCCATGGACCTTAGCTCTCCCCATATCACGTTAACAATATAATTTTATAATATATTGTGCCCACACCAGCATGTGCTGCACAGGAGGATTAAGTGTTCCCGTGCATCTTCTCTAACCTGAGCAAACAGCCTCATGACTTGCTATACACTATACTACAAATATCACCCATCTACAAAGGCTCACTTAATAGACCTGCAGGTATGTTTTTTCTACAGCCAAAGCTCCTTTGCAATTTAATTCAGACCAAAATCCAATGGAATAATGGGAGAAGAGTGACTAATAGCACCGGGACAACACCATATATCTAAAGGTGTAACAAAACTTTTACTCGGATGTATTAGGAAAAAGATACACACAAGGGTAACAAGGCACATTGTGGCACTTGTGCTAACATGGCACATCATGGCCTACATGTCTCTCTCCAGGAAACTTCATTAGTTTTAGACTTGCACCAGGTAAGGAATCAGCACAATGCTGTATTATAAAGAACTCAAGGAAATTTTTCTATTGCAAAAGGCAAAGCCAAGTAAATATGAGGACTAGTAAATGTGCAACACTGTAGTACACAGTTGTCAGTCAGTTTCCAAAAAGTGCCTTCCCATGCAAGCCCATCAGCCCTGTCCAACTTGCATCTCTTTCTTCACACCATACATAAAGTAATACCAGTCCTTAAGATGGTAGTTGTGATTTGAACTAGTTCAGTTTCAGGGTATGTATGGAAGACACACTCTAGGTAGCAGGGGAACGTTAAGTGACACAAGCAATGGCATGACAGAAGCACTTACCTCAGCAATCTTCAACACTGAACTCCCATTCAGCTCAAATGTGGAGGTATATGTTATACAGAGCAAGACCTTGAATCAAAAGAGAGAGAGGGAGGAAAAAAAATTAAGATCCATCTGTTATCGCCTCCCTTCCCGACCCACGTGCTTTGCACCATGTGTTACTGGGATAAAGGAAAAAGGACAATCAAATTGCTTCCTCCTGAGAAGTTGCAACTGTTGGCCCTAGAGGTACAGCTCAATGGATTATTTATCACCATTTCCTACGTCTGACCACGGAAGAAAAGACAATCCAGTGATCAGCTCTGGCCTTGAACTCAATAGCCAGAATCTATTCATATTTTATCCAAAAGCTTTGTATGATTTATAATCAATCCTTCCATCCATTTCTATCAGTGTAACAAAGGAGGAAGGGAAGAATGCATACAAATTATTACTGAGGTGACAGGGATTTATATGTATTATGTGAAACAAACCATTAATTACTGTTTGACGTGAAGATTTCCCAGCCTAGGATATTTCCAATAAGTGTATTATATTAACTTGATAACGAGCAGCTAAAATCAATTCATAAGCCCCAATTCATGGGGGAAGGCTTGTCCTGTCTTGAACTCAGCAGGAGGAGTAAGAACTAAAAGCCCCGTCCAACACCTTACTTTGAAGAGAAGGGGAGTGGGAATGTGATGTGAGCTACCAGGGGTTAGAGTAGTGGGTGAGTGGGGAAAAATGGTGAGAGGTGCTGAGGTGTAAAGCCTTTAGTGTCTGGAGATGTCCTCCTTCCCTCCCTTCCCATCTCCCCTTCCAGTCCGTCCAGCCTGATGGAAGACTGAGAGAGTCTGAGCTACTTACTGTCCTCTCTCCTTCAAAGCATAAAATCCCTCAAGTACAGGAATTTATGCTTTGTTTGGTCTGAAATAGCCTGAGTTTTTTTGAGATAAGCATACCAGGAAAATATCAATCACATTAACACTAATGTATTGGTCCCTACAACTTCCTCAGCACCTAAGAACTACTGTTCTCTCTCTGATTCACAAGGAAATTCAGGGCACCAAATCAGTTAGCATTACTGACTGTTAACCATTACTTTTATTTGTTACATGCTTCTCAGCAGTACTAGGTTTTTATTTTATGACTAGTTCTGTGACAGCTACTAATGCACAATACCCTGGGGTAATCCCTTTAGTCTAGAAAGCAAAACAAACAAACAACTTTGCCACAGTGTGTCTGATCAGAGCTTGCAAACAAACGAACAAAAAAAGGAGGCAAAGGGATGCATGTTTGAGAAGATTATTGTCCTTAGGTCTCTGTAAAAGTGCTATTTTTCTGACTTTTTATTGTTTTGTGCAGTTTTCACATTACAGTGGAACGGTAGACAACTGTAATTTAACAACCTGAAGCAGCAAAGTACATCACCTCTCAGGTGTAAGCTGTATCATCTCCCTAGAGATCTCTAGAACCATCTCAGAGCCTTCAGAAAGAAAAAAAAAATTCTGATCTGCAGGTCAGGAGAAGCAGACAACTCTAATACAGCACTTAGCATGCTGCAGCCACTGAACACCCATCATTACTATTGAATCTCCACTTGGAAGAATACTCCTCTCTGCAGTTATTGTGCATCAGGGACAGAGGAAAAATCCATTACTGGGAAACAGGCATTTAATAACCGTTGGGGAATTTGAACTCATCGTACAAGAGAAGCATTGAGCATTAGTTACTTGCTCTTACAGGTACAGATAGCAGAGCCTGTCTACAGATGAGCGTGCCATTTTTCTGGAGGAGAACATAAATAACCTCCTGCACATTGTGACAGTCAGATTGAAAAGTTTTGTATTGGGTCTGGCTGGGCTGGAGTT